CCCCCCCCCCCTTAACAGTGTTATTGTCCTACTAGACGGTATGATTTCCATACTATATTGTATTGTTCCCTTACTTGACTATAAGGTTCCCTTCAAGGCGATAAACTTTTTTTTAAAAAAAAAAGCAAAGTTTCCCTACTTGATTGAATGTCTTCCTACTAAACGGTAAAGCTGTTCTACTTAACTTGACATTAAGTTGTTTTTTTAACCGATGGTATGGTTTTTCTACTAAACGTACAATGTAATGGTTTTCCTGCCTGACGTTATCGTTTTCTAACCTATTGGACTGTTTATTTTTACTACACTGCATGATTTTCCTACTTAAAGATATGATTTTTTTGCTAGGTGGTGTTGTTCTTCTTACCTAAGATACGGTGGTTGCTGTCTAGACAGTATGAGTCCCTAATAGACGGTACACTTTTCTAAAAGGTATTTTTTACTGACGGTAAGGTTTTCCTTGTTGACGGTATGAGTTCCCAACTACACATTAATGTTTTCCTACCACACTATATAGTTTTCCTACTTGGCGGTGCATTTTGTTCTATTTTGACGGTATTGTTTTTTTCTTCACTGTAAGGTTTTTCTATTTGACGGGAAGGTACAAGGCGGATACGCCTTCCAATTTGATGGTTAAGTTTTTCTTCTTGACGGTGAAGTTTTCCAACTTGATGGTTAAGTTTTCCAATTTGATGGTTAAAGTTTTCCAACTTAATGGTATGATTTTACTTCAAAACGTAAATGTACAACTGGTATGTTGCGTTACAACAATGCACCAACAAGGCACTGTATCACATCTGAACAACACTCTTTCATCGTGTTCTAAGGGCTGGTTGAGAACTGCTAAATAATTTCAAAATCAATGATTCGAAACTGCATTTCTGATATATATACTGACGCAAAAGTCATACATGCAGTTAAGAACCAATTTTTATTGGCTTTTGTAGTGAAGATTACACCTAGCGCAATTCATTTGATTCGTACGATAGACGCACTTGAAGTCGAATAGATTGATATGTTAGAATTATACTCTTCAGCTCTGCTCCATATCAGCTTTATATTTTATTTCCAAAAATACATCTGATCAATTGATATTGATTAGCACTACGTGCCATCGTATACGTGTAACACAGCTATTGTATAATAATTTACTGAAACCTATAGTAACAGATTTCCTTTTATATTTTTTAAATGTGTTAACCGCTCGTGGATTTCTCTTCAGTTTAAGTGAAACAAAAATAATAATGTATTGCTACAGTCTACCGGATGGTAATGGATATTTTTAACCGCCTTTTAAAAGACACTTCATTCGAATAGCGCTGCACAACATTTTACACTTATGTAATGTTTCATGATTCAAACATAGCTGCCCAACATCTATATAGTTTCACTATTAACACAAATAGTAGTATACAAACTGTAATGTACATATACCTATTGACGTATACAATCTGTTAAAAATGTTCTCAAGCAAGAAACTGTTTGATTTTATAAAATCTGAGTCGTCTTTGTTAGTGGCAATATAATCATAAAGTTGCATCAATCACCCGTTGCTCCTTGTCCGTTTGACTCGGAGATCAGGAGCGATTCCGGACTTACTTTTTGGCAGTAAGTCGCTATCATAGCAGAGCAATACTGGATTCTTCATTATTTAAATGGTTCAATCTTAGACTTAACACGATCTGTTTGAACGGTAAGCACACGTAGGGAGGTTTACACTTCTGTTTGAACGGTAAGCACACTAAGGGAGGTTTACACTTCTGTTTGAACGGTAAGCACACGTAGGGAGGTTTACACTTCTGTTTTAACGGTAAGCACACATAGGGAGGTTTACACTTCTGTTTTAACGGTAGGCACACGTAGGGAGGTTTACACTTCTGTTTTAACGGTAAGCACACTTAGGGACGTTAACACTTCTGTTTCGCGTGACAGAGCTCGCATGCCTTTCACAGTTTATATCTTCTCCATTATATATTCGTCACCTTTTGTGTACATTGTCGAGTGGATAGTATATGTTCCATTTGTAGCAGTAGCTCCTATGACTCACGAATTGACCTTTTTATCCGTTCACAAAATTGTACCGTAGACTAGTTCGAGATAAACTCACAGGCATCTCAATAAACCATGCCATTATTTTTTACAGCCTTCGTCAAGATTTTTTTATGTAATCCCTTTTTATTATTTTTATTACGGAGCACTGAACCCTATACTTATTTTCGAATATACCTTAGGTTCAGATCATGCAAATATTTGTCAATTAAAAATATTAAAACTATCAAGTGTTTGATTACTTGTAATGAGAGACATTTGGAAATACAATTTTACATTTTGTAAGAAAATAACTTTTTTTTTAAAGAATATCAACAGGTGAAGTCATATTTGGATTACTCACGTCAATGCTTATTACATGATTTGTCCGTTTTCCTCAATTAAGCAATTTTAAGAGTAAAGCGTTATAATCAAATGACGCAATATTTGTAAAATAAATCTGCTAAAGATAATTCAAATGACAACTATGCTTTCAATAGTGATCATTCAAAGGCCTGTGCTGATTTAAACATATATAGAAGAGATGAGTAAAAGGAATCTAAAATGTCACTTACCTTAATACAGAAATGATATGAAGATGGAAAATTTTCATTATCTTAAAGATTTGTCTGTGTCCACACATATAGCGTTGATACTGATGACATAGCCGGAGATCGCTTCGTGATATATACCAGACTATCGGTGGCGGTCTCGCGCGCCAATGCATTAAAGCATACCACACTCTCCGTGGGAAAATTAAAATTAAAAGTTACGTACCTGATTAACGCAAAGGCGACTATCACTAGGCCGAGCATAATGGGAGATGGTAAAGACAAACAGTCGACAAAGGGAGCACACACAAAGTGGGAAGTAAAATTGCTTGGCTATCCTATCCGGCTTTAGGCTTGATTAGAGAACGAACGATCGGAAATGTCTAAGAGGGAACAGTTGGAGTATAGTATAGAGACGCCAACAGTGCAACAAGCCAGATGTGCGCTCCTATGTGATGTAGGCTGTGCTGCTGAAAGTTTTTTGGATATTCTTCGTTAATGCTATCGAGTTGTTTACCGTTTCTGTTCTTTAATTGATGTATCATTTAAAATGAATCATTATGCTTTCATTCGTTTGTGTCAATGGTATAGTAACAGTATAATGTTTGCAATCAAGCCTAAAAATCACATTTAAAAAAAACTTCTGTTAACCTAGAAACCCGAACATTTAAACCTGATGATATGGTCACTGCATTAAATCAATGATTTATTTTTCGCGAGAGCTCTTTTGGTGGGGTCTGAGGACTCGACAGTTTGGTGCACCACCGATGTATTCTCAACATATGGCACCACCTTCATGTCCTAACGGGAACACGATGTTTTAGCGTTCTTTTCACTACTAAGGAGTTACTGTGGTTTTGTTATCCTCGGACTTTTGAACTTGTCAGGGTTTTTCGCCCTTGTGACAGTTTTGGACTTTTAAGAATGTACCTGAATGAGTGCACTGGATGCGTGCATTTGCGGATACTTACATGTGCGCTGAACAGTAACTGTGTAAACATAGTGAACTTCGTTTCGAGTAATCGCATTTTGGACCGAAAATGAGTAATAATACTGAAATGACCAAAAAGTAAAACAAACGATACGGAAGTCACGTTTGACTCTCGTTTAGTATATTTTGGTGAGAAGATGTCGATTCCACCATGAAACCATAGCAATAAATACTATTTTTATTAAAAAGGAATCATACTCCGTAATTTTAGGCAAAACAGACATAATTTCAAACATCACCATGAATTGTGTCTTTGACCATAACATAGGTCAATGCTCGCACTAGCTGTCTGTCCGGCACGTCGATTTCCCTCTTCGTTTAAAATGAAGTATCGCTATCAGTGTTCTCCGGCCCAAGTGAGACGAGGAGAGAAAATATTAGCTTTTCCAGCATTAACAATGAAGTCGACCAAAGTATCATGTTCGTTCAACATGTTTCGTCAGTATCAACAACAAACTGGACGGCGACATGCTTTTCGCACCGACCGTATTACTCAAGTTTAGAATTCATCGAATATGCTCCTTAATGTGACGTCTTTAACAAACGATGTCAATTTTATAATGATAAAAATTGTGGTTATGTTTTAATTGTTTTTAATGACTGGTACAGTACAAAATATGACATAAAGTAAGTACGAACTAACAAAACACGTTTAACAGTTGTTGTATACAAGGACTATATTTTCAAATATTCAATCACAGAAAAATGCAAGTGCTTTTAGGCTCTTTCAACAGTCGAACATTCCTGTCAGTTTTGGTGGGATTTTTTTAATTTTTAATGTCATAATTATCTGTTTCAGACGGAAAGTCGTGAAAATATAAATTTGATATAATAAGAATTAAGCTTCTTTCAGATGTACATGTAGTTTACACGCATTACTAATTAACTACTTGCGTATTGACAATAATATGAGAAAACTGCCCAATCAATATCATAACAAACTGGGCCAATATGGGATAAAATGGGACAATATCGACGCACTCGGCAAATACGGGATAAACTGGGCCAATATCGACGAATTCGGCAAATACGGGATAAACTGGGCCAATATCGCTAATCTGCTAATCGAACGCAAGCAATATTATTCGGAACATTTCTATACTTATCGGCGATGACTACCTTCACTTTCAGTAACGCTTCATTGACAACGGCAGAAGACAACCAACCATGGAGCGAGCATCCTACAGCTCTGCCCAAAATGTCGTAGACATGCTAGCGGTTTAATGCATAACATTACTAGAAACAAAGTGTTAAGTACATACTCGATGGCGAATTCTGAACTACAAGGGTGTCTGTCATTTTCCCTGTTCAGTTGTGCAAATATCTAGCAAACTACAGTCAGCCCTTCTCTAGTTTACAGGAAGAAATCTACTTAACAACATTTTGAAATGACTGTTATTAAATTTAATCAGTTTATTTTTGTTAATTCAAGATTATCGCCAATAATTTACAAGTACATTTTGTAGTTAACTAATAACAGTGTTATTAACCAGCTAAGTCTACATAGCCCAAGTTATAAGGCCACGTATAATCTGTTCTCAATCCCCGACATTAAGTGATGAACTGATTAGATTAACAAAATATTCTTCCTATTGATAACCAACATACGAAATCAGTATTTCAAGCATTGAGCTTTTATTCTTGCTTATAAATAGTGTCGTCATAATTATCAGCTGTCGAACATAAGCATTCTGAAAAAAGATACATTGTAAAAAAACATAGCACGTTGTGAGGTGCCACCTGTGATACATAGGGCAATATGACAGAAAATATCCATGTTTATTTATGTATTTTTTTTATATTATCCAAAAAGAAGTACTGAAATATATATTGACAGAACCCTTGAAGGATTAATGGTAATGTTGGCCACATATCCTTCATTACGGTTAATACGGTATTGTTCCTTCGCTTAACTGTTTAATCAATCTTAACAATTCTATATTACCTGATACAGCATGAGACTTACGGATACCCCTATTTATAAAGGTGGTGTAAAAGAGGACTTGCACAACTGTATGCCCTACATTGTCGAAGATTTTTGACAATCTTGTCTCAAAATAACTGGTTTCAGTTTGTAACCATTATCATAGACCTCGTCTTTCCTGGAAAACATTCATACAATACAACGTTAAAACATTGTATAGAGAAACGACACAACTAAGGGGATTGCAAACTTAGTTGAACATTTTTTCTTGATTAAAAAATGACCTTGCAAAGAATTACCTCTCTATTGATGTTAGAAAGAAAAAGAAATCATTTAATTATAAATATTAGATGTAATAGCATTATTGAAAATGATAACACACTCATGACAACACAGTGACTCTTTATCAAGTTAACATTCGAATGCTTCAGAGAACAACAGCTGACACAAACAAATACATAGCTTTGGGTGAAACCATTTTTAACAAGTTTGTCGTTAACATATTTCAAACGAAGAACACAAATATACGATACGGCACTTCTCAATAAATATATCAATTACGTCATCGTTTCAAAATAGGTAAGCGTTGACGATTCTATTTTTGAAAACAACACAGACCTACAAAACACCGAGTAAGCTGATGTTGACTACCTAATCCAACAAAATAATGCATTACGACCTTTCTCAATAAATGTCTGAACTAAGTCATCGTTTAGAGAAAAGTAAGCGTTGACGATTCTATTTTGGTAACAACACATTCATAAAATAATTGGAGTTCGCTGGTATTGATTTACCAAATCCATCGTCAACATACATTATGTATGCTTATGATGACTTATTAAGATCACAGGTCAGACTATACTTATGATGACCAACCAGAATACACTGACTATGAATATTGTCACAGATCATAATACACTTCTTCTGACCACGATCACAGGTCAAATGAACAGATGGCGACTTAAATAACACGCCCCAACAAACTGATGCTCACTAAGGTAACAGGCCATTTGAAACTGGAATATTTTACGATCCAATTTTTAAAACTAAAAAACAAATGCTGTTGTCTAAAACAAAAGAAGATTGATTATTTTACTTTGCATTTTGTTCTCGTGAAATATCATGTTTCGAAAATCCCTATTGAAACACGGTCAATCAGGGAAGGGTACATATTGCTTTTCCTTAACACAAGGACAGGGCGCATTAAACTGAGTTTTAAGAACAATACAAAACATACATGTAAATATTATATGGTGGACGTATTTCATGTATTGCTATAGCATCCATACCCTCTTTAACACATGTTCTCATTTTAAATTCAGCTTTTGCAATGACGCTCGTTCGGAAGTGGGCGTTTGATGCTAAAAACCTGAAAGGGAAAGTATAATTTAAAATGTATATAAATAATCATCTTTGTTGTTCCTCAAATGTTGACCTAGTGCATTGCTAATTTTGGCGTCAATTTTGGAAGGTTGCATTGCGACGTAATAATATGTCATGACGTCATCACTTTATATTTACATTCTGTATGCTTTGACCCATTGACGAAAATGACATTCATTTTTGCATAACACAGGTAACTGCAATGATGTAGCACAGTGCGTAGTTGGTAGACGTCCACGTGAAGCAGTCCTCGATGTAGCTTTGTTATGCAAATATGATTAACATTAAACATGTTTGGTTTTATTTTAAAGCTAAAATAAGATGTGTGAAAAACTTGATCATAATATACGACTTGCATAAATTATACGAATCGGATTTTGAAAATGGAACTATTTTTTGTTTGTTATGTAGTCATGCTGTTGCTAGGTTGCTGTGAAAGTTTTACATTTTCCCGCGAAAACACGCTATTCTCTCTACTGCGTTGTCCCCATGTATAAAAAGAATAAAATACACGTGAATGTTTTTTTCTATTTATGTTTACATCGGAAAATGCAAAGCACTTAAAAAATATGTATATAAGAAATGAAATTGATTTTTTCAACATTCATGAGGTAATAACAACATTGGCTTTCTGGACATATTTACCCAATAATATTTTGTTTAAATAAAATCCAATAAAACAAAGTTGAAACGAATATCATCTAGTAAAAAACATATTGTCGTAACTACCTCTATAATTGTCTTTAATCATCAAAATAAAATACCAAAATTCGTCTTTTCGAGTTCACCTTCTCGTTTTATACAGGGTCTGGTTAATATAAAGCCATTGAATTGATAATTGTTAAAAAACCGTAACATTATTTCTGCACAAATTCAGCCTTTTCGTTATTGCCCACTGACGCATTATAGAGGACACTCCTCCTTTGAAGCTTAAATTGTTGATAACGTGACATTGATGAAATTTAAAAAATGTCCGCCTCGTCGAGTACTCAAAAAAGGGCCAAATGCCTGACTTATGAAAGCCTTATTCTGATTAGTCAGTATGCTGTAGTGATCCATGTATGAGGTTGTTGCTTAAAACATGAATACAAACTTGTAAAATAGTGTAAAACAGACATAGCACACTGTTTTCCTGTCTATGCTGGCGATAAGAACATGACATTTATTTAATACATCATGATCTCTCAGTTTTGAGTTTAAACCAAATTTCATTACCCGATTGCCCAAAACGTCTAAAAATTATATTTTTGTTTGATATGTGGATTGGTGTGTGATGTGAGCTTGTTTCAATAGAATGTATTACGGTATGAGCAGTGTTCGTATAAGTATTATTTAATGAACGGGTTTATTCTTTTAACATTGATAAGGCCATACAAATGTATTACACGTTAGATGTATCATTTGTTTTAAACATGTTCTTTTATTTGTTTAATCTTCATTTAAATTAGCAAAATAACGAAACTCAAAAGATGGTTTTATGTTTCATAATCAACAAAGCAGGACTGTATTATTATGTGATGTTATTGTTATTGTGTGACGATTTTATTACGGTGTATTTTACAGTCAGGAACAATTTAGTTTGTTTTTACATGAATCTGAACCTCACAACTGATGATTATTTTATAGACAAGTAAAGAAAAACATCGATTCATTGCCTGTCCTGATTCTTCCATCCTTTCTGTCAGAACAGTGCTCTCAACACTTAAGTACACTAATAGTAACGCCTGACTCCGATCAAAAAGGTTTCTCAAATATCACTTGGCGGACCCCTCGCAGAAACTGACCTGTAAGTTATTTGCAGTCGACCTCAAGTCTGATTGTGAATGTTAATAATTGCTGAATGTTGTCGTTGGATATATAAGTGTATATCATTATTAATTAACAAGAACTGATACATAGTTGAATAAAACAAATAATACAATTTTAAGCCCATACAGCAAGTTTACCTGGATATCTTTTCTGTATAGCGGCCGTCAAATTTTGTACGCGATTGTTCATTAAGGTTGACAAGGAATCATTATATAATGTGTTCAAATCTATCACGTTTTTGTGCTTCCGTTGAAAGTTTCCCTCAATGTTTTTCTTCATACATGTTTTGTCAGTTTCCGTCATAGTAAAATTAAGAAATTTAACAGCTTGTTCAATTTGAATGATTTGGTAAGCCTTCAGTTCTTCATAAAATATGATATGTAAAGGATTGTGATATTTTGTAACCCAGTCATAATTCAGGCCATGCCAGAATTGTATACGCTCCTCTGCAAAACGTATCCAGTCTGTTTGAAAAAAAAGGAGAAATTATAAAATAATGTCATTTAAAAAATAAATAATAAACGACGAGCAAAGGTAAATATATAACTAACATTAACTAGTACTAATTGTAATGGGGGGCCATTACAGAAGTCCACCAACCCCCTAAAGTTATGTTCGCAGTGCCAAAATATCCCTGCATTTGAGATTTAAACAGAATCGACCATTGTTTAATTTCGACCAATCAAAGGCCATGGCGGCCATCTTTGTTGACCGATCGGAAAATGAAAGGTCATTTGCACACACCCTTAACGTGATGACCACTTGTGTTATGTTTCATTAAGGAGAAGTTTGCCTGCAGAAGACCTGGTACTTTTCCTTATGTAATCTACAGGCAATTATGTCTGTCTCAAAGGTTTTGAGACAAAGTAGAAATATTCCATATATTTTAATCATCAAAGACATAGCGACCCCATCATTAGAAATTAAGTCATGTTTATACATGCAGCTCCATCACCAAATTATTTTTCTTTTCTCTTCATAGTATGTATATATATAAATATACTTATATGTATTTTCGGTATCAAAATAAAAGGTTAGAATTTAAACCATTAGATTCAATTATGATAAAAATGGATATTATTAAGTGTTTGCACTATTTTGATTATTAATTTGATAATACCAACTTGTTTATATGTGTTTGTATGTGTTCTAATGTCTATGTCTATGTTTGTACCACTGTCTGTTACTATGGTTGGAGAGGGCTTAAATAGGATATGCCTACTGCCTAGTCAATTTGTCCTTTGACAATAAAATGTATTACCTGACTCTCTATTTAAGTGTATATGAAGTATTTTTGACTGATTTAATAAAAATTCCATGGAAAAGGCTGAAAACCCGTAAAATAATGTCAGGGTTCTGTTACATGCGCGACAATCGTGCGCAGAAAATTTCCCCGTCGGCGGCCCCACTCATTCGTCTGTTTGATACAGATTTGTTTGTTGTCGTCTAGTGAAAAAGGCGAATAACGGCAGAATTGAGGATGTTTCTGAACAAGATTTGGAATTGCTTATGGACAATGAGGACTCTCTTATTACAAAAAACGTCATTAAGGGAGCTGTGAATATTTTGGATAAAAATTGTGCAGAGAAAGGTGTAATGATCGACGAAAGCTGCAGTAATGAAGAACTGAACGAGTTTTTGTGTAGATTTTACGTAGCATTGAGAAGCAAGAAAGGACATCTTTATACCAAGAAATCATTTCTGTCAATAAGGTATGGATTACAAAAACATTTTGAGTAGAAGAGTCATGTTGATATCGTGAACCATCCCGATTACATTGACTTTAAATAATAAATAATTAAATCTTCTATCCTTCCATACAGTCATTTATTCTGACTCGCACAATTCATGAAGTTTCTTAAATAGAGAGTCAGGTAATAAATCATTTGTTTCATTGGTACTGGGGGAACAGTCAAATCCTTGACCCTCGGTAGCAGGGAAGACCTAGAGAACTGTGGCCCTCGGCCTTGACATGTTTCCGTCATCAGAAGATGTTTAGTTCTACAACAGGACATGCTTTCGATATCATAGTGAACAATTTAAAACTAAATGCAATTAAAATCGTTATATGTTGACATACATTTTAATTGCCAATTAGTTAAAATCTATCAAAAAGAGAATAGTTTGGATGGAAACTATAGCAACAGTTCATGCATTTTCAGATTGTTTTCAATCCATCATGTTCAACATTTGTATCTCATCACTGCCTATTGGTAATATGCAAAAATAGTAGATAAATACGTTGTAATGGGTCATTCGAAATTGGTAATTTGGAATCAAATAAAACATTTTTTTTTTTTTATTGACGATCTCTCTAATTCTTTGCCGGTAAGTTTCTTTTAATTGTTAGAGTCAAACATACTTCCAAGAATATGCTGGATACCTGTAGCATATGACTCCACTGCAGATTGTTTTGATTTTATTATTAAAGATTGTAGAAATATTGCAAGATATCTGTAATAAAGATTTTGTATTACAAAATACTGTTTATGAAAAGACAATCTGCATCGTATTTAAAAAAAATCTTATAATAAGGACTTGAATGTCCGATATCACACAGCGTGTATGGCTTGCAGATTTGAATCATATGTGCAAATGAACATCTTGTTAAAAAAACAAATACGGTACTAAAACACAGTAAGAAGGTTGGCATGACCTAATATTTATAGGTATACTTACGGTCAGAATGAAACAGTTGCAGGTTTGCCTCCTTCAAGTGGAGGCCACCGTTAAAATAATGAAAGCTAGAAACAACAGATTCTCGAGGATGGCGTAAAATCAAAATAGCCCGGTCGTAGTAGGTCTGATAGTCATTTTTCCACTCATGTGTCTTTACTATTAGGCATTCGTCTACTTTGACACATTTGGTTTCGCCAGGAAATCCCCTTTGTTGTAGCTGACCGTCACCATATATACTGCCTGTAGCGATACCTGGATAAAGTAATGTTATAACGCCGCGCATGAGGTTCTCACAAGCAATACTTTTCCCTCTTTGTCATAGCTATACATCAATTAGCTCAATTTTACCTCAGTTGTCAGTGATTGTTATCACCGGTATAATTTTTTTTTCAAAAGATTGTTTTACGGAACATCAAACCTAAACCTATATAAATATGTACGCTGTGTGTCACAACATTGAGAAATCTCTTTAACAGCATAAAATATTTTATCAGATAGTATTATATTTTAATTTTTTCTAACTTAAATACGTTATGGTGCCAATCTCTTTGCAAAGAACACAACAATACGGTTTTACAATACCTGTAGCCTGTTGCAGTAAATGACGTGTCCATGTGTTTCCTGACCCCGGGGAGCTAGCGAGAGCCGCTCGAGGGAGGCGTGTAGATGATCCTGTGACGGATTCACCCTTACATTGAATATTTACACTTCTATTGACCTGACCATTCACTATGTTTTCTTTTACGACCCCCCCTTTTCTGTTCCGAATCTTCGTAATCTGTGTATCGTTATCTGTGGTGTTGATAACCGACTCTTTTTCTTCTGGATTGGCTGGATATTTGGATAACATTTGTTTAGATGTTTCAACGTGTCCAGCACGCGTCGCTATATCTTTATGAAACTGAACCGTGTCAACTGATTGCTTGTCATCTTTTTTCTTCCCAGACGGTTTCAATTCCTGTAAGTCGGGTTTTCTCTGTAAGACGTTAGTTTCCTTTCCTCGAGAGACACTGACATTCCGACCTATTTTCAAAACGGAGTTCATGTTCTTAATAGATCGAACGCTTGTTGTTGTGCTGCAATTGCGTTCATCACAAACGGTACCTAGGTAATAATACAACAGGGCACCAGCGATAAGTGTATATCCTAGAATGACAACAGTCAGTAGTCGGATATGGTGCGACTTGAATTTGATTCGAAGATTGCATCCTTTATGATGAACGAAGCTGGTTGGTGTCTCCTGAGTAAAATGTTGTACCAGATAACTGACTTTGTTTGAAATGCTGACGTGAGACTGGTTATTCTGTACAGGGTCTGGAGTGGTGAGGTAACTAGCAATACAAGATGTCCTTTTCGGTTTACCTGACTGAGTAGACGCCATTGATGAGAACGTACCATGGCATTGCTCATGCTGTTCCGTATTTTGCACTACGTTTTTAAATATCGGAAAGGGAGTTTGCAATGGAGTCCCGTTGAAATCCGCCATTTTGACACGTATTTAATATACTGTTATGTTGTAAACAGTTCACTTACATGCGTATACTCTTGCATGGTGATTACTAGTGCGTGTCTGCTCTTGCAACATTATACTAAGGTGAACTACTCTAATACTAATTGCTTTTCATATATCTTCAGCGAGCACTGTTCTTTTTATTATTTGCCTTGTATCGTGAACTCGGATCATTTTACCTACAGGCAAGTGTCTAACTCGAGCCTGTGTTTGCCACTTTAGTGTGACTAACGAAAGACAATATTAATTGTGATCACAATCACTTGTGGATGTGTATACTTTTCATTACAGAGATACATGTATTTAAACTTAACTTTACCCGTCCTTATTTATTGTTGCACAAATACAAGCCACAATTTATTTCAGGAACCATTTACATTTAAACATTTAAACACTCACTCTTACCCAAAGTTATCAAATCACATTGATCTCTATGGCCACCCAACACCAGAAATGTGTTATATCAATTTTCGGAACAGTAAATATTTCGAGTTGACGTTTCCGAAATATAATTATGCTATAACTACATGTTAAAAAAGTCATGGTAATATTTAAATTGAAGTTTGCCTTTCACCTTAATATTTTTAATGTCGCTTCCTTTATCAGTTTTCTCGACCTTTATTGATCATACTCATAATAACAATTCAGCTTTAAACATTAGACACCGAAGTTAACGTTGACCGACACTGTGGAGACATGCATATGCTCCAGGGGATACCAAAATACAGGACAAGCTTCGAACCACTCCAACTAAAAATTTCAAAAGAACCATAATTACCTAGTTTCGTTTAGATTTAACACTCATAAGTTTTGAAATGAAGGCCGAGGATTACCAAGCTTGATACACTGTTGAGACAAAAACAGTTCCACACTTAATTCATTAGATACAATGGTTAAGAATAGACTACTTTTAACGTCCCGTCAGAGAATCGAACCTATGCTGTCAAGGTGACAGATGGGTCAACTATCCACTGGCGCACCAATCCATCCGTACACATATGCGCCTTCTTACCCTTTGGCCATTTTTCTTTGTTTATCTATTTTTTTAAAAGTCAAATATGTCCTTGACTCTGGTCATTAAGAGCAGTTACACAAGGTAACGTGTGTATCACGTTTGTTCCGGAGTAACAAGAGGCGGATCAGTCTCCCGTTATTTAGTTTATTTGTGTGAGGTCATAGGTCAATTAGACTATTAATGATCCGAATGACAAACCTTTCATTGCATACAAATATCTGATTACTATGAAAAGTTATAACAAAAGTCAATATATAAATCACCAAAGGTCATAGGTAGATTTCATTTTATTAGATCAATGTCATAAGACTTCAATTTGCATAACATATTACGTAAGACAAAATGCTGATATATTTGCTCTTAAGGACAAAGGTCATATTCGTTATTTAATCGATAAATTTTGCAACCCTTACCTGTAGCGGATTTACCGTTTACATGGCGTTACCTATGTAGTTCACATAGGGTTCTTGCTAATTTTGATATCCATTAAACACGAGACAGGCCCGGTTCCTTATCTTTAATCACTAGTAGGAGAGACTGTACTATAGACACATAATTTGCTAGTATTTCGTTTTTTGAAAAAACATTTAAAGCATAGGTAGAATTTTAGTGTTGTCAACGTTACACCCTTACAACAGTAGGGTCGTATGAGAACAGGAGTTATCAAATAAGCTGATACGTAATACTGCTTGTACATGAAGTCTTTGTATGTTGACCTATTACATAATTAGTATGGACATCGTTGAATGTGGTATGGACATCCAATGTCAGCAAGCTCTCGTGTTGCCTATTGTCTGGCGGTCTCTTCCTCATAATCCTTCAATATTTTACAATATATGTTTAAATTGATAGTAAGAGTATCTGAAACCTTTGGATCACTCAAGAAAACCTCTCTGATAATTGTATCATTGATAATATAAAATAGCAAATTACTACGCATTCAACTAGGCCATATTTATATACCGACGAAGAACAAGAACACACTGAAGGAGGAAATACAACAAGGTCATCTAAAAACTGAAATGTTATTGTGTTCGCTTGTTGTTAAAAACTCGGGATAAATTTATTGATTAAAGCTATAAGAAATGGTTTTAATATTTTCGTATCTGATGTTCGGAGGTATGTAAGCATCGATGGATTCATGACATATACCCCCTTATTTCCGAATTCGACATTCATAAATTCTTAACTACCGGAGTCGAATTTGCGTACCGTGAGCAATGATCTATGAAAGGTTCAGGACAGGTTCCAGGTAGCTTTGGACACTGTTTAAGTAAACTCTAAGTAAAGGTTCTAATACAGGGAGGAGACAAATGCAGTATGTAGAACAGGATGACAGTCAAAGCTTACTCCAGGGTTTCCATTGGAGCCATTAACGTATCATTATATACGGTTTGCCATGACCATCACTACGCTATCCTCTCTGAGGACTGAAAAGAGACATACCATTGTTATGACTAGGACCTATATTTGACGAAGGTCAAAAACGTCCTTCATTGCAAAACACTACATTAACATACACATGTAGAATCCATAGCCACGACGACATTTACTTATACAGAAAAACGGATTATTGTTGTCTTGTTAGTACTGTTTTATAACTCAAATCACACTCAGCCGCTTCTCAAATTAATCAGCTGTACAACCATACCTCGCGCTCTTCTATTGATATTGTCCATGTCACTTCCAAGATATGTTGGTCACAGAACTTGCTACAATGAAGCACAGGTGCGTCACTAGCTCTCATATAACGCTATCCTTTGTTGAGAACTTTACAACCCCTGGTTCAGTTTACTAACGACAGTCTCTCCCGTAAGAAGCGTAACTCAATACAGTATTTTTGCCATTTGAAGAAGGTTTCCTTTCAGAACAATGTACAGGTTTCAACATGAAAGTTGCACTTTGCATAGTGTGAACATGTACATTTTGTATGTTTTGTGTATGACGGGAGAGTACAGTGGCATGCATGTCGTGTGACAGCTATTGCCATGTGTAGTTTGCTGAAAAACATGATTTTATTTTAGATAAAAATATCCCCTGGCGGTAAAAGCACTATAACGCTCCATGCTTTTTATTGTCGACAACGTGAACATACATTTATACAAAACCTTATTTTCTACTTTTCTTTAGATTTATTACTTTTGATGTTTGACATGTACAGATGCTCACTGTAGTTTTATATCATATCTTTCGGAACATGTTTTTATTAACAAGCCTTTTCAGCAATTCATTTTACCAGTACTCTTTGAAGTACATGAACACTATGCCAGACAGCTATATTAAACTTTTATTACTTAAATATTAATCCGGTATTTTGTTATAGCTCTTCATGGTGTAAATAGTTATCTGTTTGTCAATTTTGTTAGTCCTATTAGTCCTCTCTGGTCAGTCTGCAGGTAGGTCACACAACAATTGCCTCTGTCTGTTAGTCCAGTGTATACCACTTCTCTGGATAGTATACAGATGTACATATAACACAGGTATATGTCTGATAATTATCTTTAGTCATTTATCAACGGTCGAACTGTACAACTATCTTTCTGTTAGCCAACGTGGTGAACACTTGGAGTTTGATTTGTTTTTGAGTTTTACGTTAAGATCATGTCAAGACGTTACACCTTATGATCTGTTTCAGGTAGGACACATATCACTGGTATATGCCTGTGAAGTACCTCTAGTCATTCATCAATTGTATACTTGCACAACTGTCTCTATGAGTTCTGTGGGTTAAACCTCCCGGGTCAGTCTACAAGTGGGACACATAGCACACCTGACCTCCTTTACCCTGTCTAAACGTGTAGATAAATAAAATCCATCCCTGATATGAGGTATGGATAAGATAATTCAGACCCAAGGGCTAAAATATTGAGCAGGCGACCCGAGGCTTAGCCAAGGGTCTTTTGCTCAATATTGTATCCCTTGGGTTTTAATTACCTTATCCTTACCACATATCAGGGATGGATTCTAGTTCTTGCTTATTACTTAAAACCCGTCAAAACTGCTCTTCTAGTAAAGGTGTAAACTGTCCGCGCATTTCTCATTTGCATAATATGAAGCACGGATGACAATGGTTAATGACGTCAATGACCCTGACTGACCCCAAAACGTCATAAAATGACGTCACAAATAATGGCGTGAACCCGAAAGGTCGCTATAATTCCTCCGCCAGTCTGCGCGTGTAAGCGATCTAGACCCGTGGGGCCAGCACCGCCGAAATGCGGATATCTCGGTCTAGTATGCAAGAAAGACTACTAATGTCCAGTATACAATCGAGTTGTTATTTGTTGAATTATGCAACTAGCAGCACTTTCAAATACATTATGCGCTAACATATAAATGTATCGTTGGACGGCTTTCATAACACAGGCCTGTTTATGGTTCTTGACATTCAAAGCTTCATAAATGATTCTATTTTCCGCTCGATAAAAAAAGAAACGTCTTTAATACCACTTAATTTAATGCATCTATCTTTGCAACCATTAGGCCGCTATACCTGTTAGATGATTCGTACAAGCTTGTC